TCAGAAAAATTGTAATTTGGCTGTTACATTTTTATGATCTTGACGGAAAAATAAGTTACAGTTTTAGTGGAAAAAATGTATTTTTGAGGGTTAGGTGAAAAGTATATCTTTGTTTGTCTAAAAATAAATTTAGATATTTATTAGATTAAAAGTAAATTTGTCACTTATTACTGTAGACAAGTTCATCTCCATCCATATGCACTTATAAATTCATGATGAATTTCATTTTAGCCTAAAATTTTTTAATCCATTTAGATAAATAATTTGAATGAGGTCAATTTTAATATAAATAAACATCAGTTCTAATCATGCCCTAACTAGGTACACACCCAAAGCCATATTATACTCAGACATACACTCGCCTCTATGTATAGTAGTATGCTTACTTATACAGTATATATATATCTAAAGAACGAAATCTGAATTATTATAAATTAAATTAACTCTTTTCAAAAGAAATGATTCATTCCAATAGGAATTGAACATATATGATTTTTAAAAATCTTTACTAAATGATCCAATATTTTTTAATCATTAGGTCAACATCTCATTGATGCTTATTTATTTATGCTTAAAATTAAAGCATACTACAGATAATAGTGATAAAATTTACAAACGAAAATAATACTAAGCATACTACAGATAATAGTGATAAAATTTACAAACGAAAATAATACTGACATTGTCAAATTTAGATGTCGCTCTTCACTTCTCAATTCTCATGCAAGTTTTCCAACTGGAAAATACTAGAAACCAATTTATCTAAGGAAATGGTGGTTCTAGGCCTGGACAGTTTATCCGGACCCAAGGACCCGAACTGGAACCGACCCAAAAATACTTGACCCAAACCGGAACCGATTTGAAAATACTTGACCCGAACCTTATCCGAAAATTTAGAAGTATCTATTAGGTCTAAATTTCTTTTACCCGAATTGACCCGAACCCGAAAAGAATCGACCCGAATAGATCGAGACCCAAAAAACCGACCCGAATAGATCCGACTCGATAAGAACCGATTTATACCCGACTTATAAACATGTATATCCAAAACTATTATTTTTGTGTTATGTTTTATAAATCTATACTATTTTATAAAATATATTTTGTTAACAATATTTATTATTATTTGTAACATTTTTAAGTAATATAAAGTTTAAAATGTAAAATTTAGAGTTTAAAAATGTTTTCTTTAATTATTAATAGTATAATTTAAGTTATTTTATAAAATTTTAGATATATATGAAAAATATTGACTAAATTTGAGTGAGTTTGGGCATGTTATATATTTTTTAGATTCTAAATACCCGGACCCGATCCGGATCCGATATGGATCCAAAAATTCGGGTATTTTACAGGTATTAGAGTTTTAGACTCGAACTGACCCGGATCCGGCAAAACCGACCCGGAACTTACCCAAAAAATCATAGGTACCTATATGGGTTTAAATTTCCAAGACTCGAAAAAGCCAGACCCGACAGGACCGATCCGAACCCGACTCGAGGTCCCAGATGCCCATGCCTAGGTTGATCTTACAGGAATTATGTATGTCGCCAATATTGGAAATGTTCCAACTTTGTTTTGTTCTATTAAAAAGAACGTAATTAAATACGTCTCTATAGTCTATATGAGTGTGATTTACCATAATTAAACACCTTTTTATTCAAGATAATGATTTATTGTCTCCCAGACTCCTAGCTCCTAAAGCTTTGTTTTATTTATCGTTTTGACAAAGGGCATTCAAATTAAAACATAACAAAATACAAATGGTTCAAAACCTTAGAGTTTGAGAAAGTTTTGTGAGCAAGGAGATTGCTAGCTAATGGATTATTTTTGTTAAAATGTTAAATTCATCCGAAATATATTATTCCCACAACAATTCAATGAAACGTGGTCTTTGATAGTTTTCAAATTGTGGTAATATTTACCAAACTAACAAAAACATGCCCTCTAATTAATGAAGCAAAATTACAAGATCTCAATTCGTGGGTTTGCATCTGGTTCGAACCAAACTGTGAGGTTCTTGTTAAAGCCTGACTTATTTTATAATTAGTTCAAACTATTTCCATTTTACATTTTAGATACCTTTTCTAAGTAGAGTACATATAGTTGCCGTCTTAGCTCAGTGGTAGAGTGCATGACTTTTAAGTCCAGACCCAATTTCCTTGTTTAAAAGTTTTGGTCCTGACTTTCTTGTTGTAATTTCTGGTTACTTTTTGTTGATAGGAAATGTTCTTTAGGTAAACAGCCTCTCTTTTTCCATCAAGTAAATTCAGGCTTAGCGATAATAATTCATTGTTTTCTTTCGGGGAGATGGATCTGGAGAATTGTCCTGACGTGTACCTCTGTAGGTATCACAGATTCCATGCTCGTGGATTTTCTCTGGGCGTTACTTAATCATGTTTACCACGGTTTTGTTTGTAGATTCGGCCTAGCCGTTTGATTGGGGATACCGCAGTGCAGAGAAAAGAAAACTTTATGTTCCACTCTTGACAGAATTCTCTGAAGTCGTGGTTTATGAACTAGGACTCGTTGTCTGTGACAATTTTCTAGGGCGTACCGATGCAGGTTATCACGTTTGTCCATATTATGAACATTTTTATTTTCTCTATAGTAATCGTAGCTAGGACCTCAGCCTCCACCTACTTTGTAAAGTAGTTAATTATCACGAGTAGGAATACTCGATTACACGTAAACAAAAATGGATGGTTGGTAAAGTAAAGGGGGAGGTGGAGAACTCAAGTGGTTCACCTATTAAAGCAATTCTAGTGTCCTTCACTTGGATACACAATACAAACACACACCCAAAGTCAATTCGAGAACGCTTACATTGATGCAAAAACATGAAGTGAATTAAGGAAACAATGCAAAATAATAATGAACACCACTAAAAAAGAATAGGAATATGCTATTTATCACACAAAATTTGTTCACACAAGTCCATCATATAATAGCTCTTAGCAGCTATTCATTGATCCTCACTTCAACGCTTTTACACTGATTCCGATACCCATTTCTTGTTTATTATACAGCAATTGGTGTATCCTGCAGAAGCCACAATCAGTTTGTGCCACATAAGGAATACTCTAAGTCTAAAACTAAAATCTTGCATCAAACCATCTATCAAAATCTATATTAACTCAAAACTACAAATAAGTCCAGTACTTTAAGTACCAGTTTTGGTTCTTATGTTCAGGTACATCACTAATGGAGTTAGTGTCCCTAATTTGGAAGGTTTTGAAGACTCACCTTGGAGGATATATTCGAAACGGCTAGATTGAACTTCTCTTTGGTTTTGGAGCCAGCAAGCTGACCTGCTCTCGCAACTTTGCTGAAAGCGCCACTAAACCAAGCAGCTCCAGCAGTCACATACCTATTAGAAAGCAGAATCCATGAAACAAAGAATGCATCATCAGCTAAAACTCATTTTCCTCAATTCTCTAAAAAGAAAAGCATAGCAGTGATTTGACAAATGACCTGCTTGATTTGACAGCTGAACCAGTGTCGTTTAACTTCTTCTCAGCTGCAAATATAGCCGCCATGGTTTTATCGGAAACCTGAAGCCTCTGATCAACAGATTTTACTTTCTCATTAACCACGGAGATACCCACGTTGAACTTCTCGCTAAGCCGGACTCTCTTGTCAAAAGACGAAACTTTGGCGGAAGCATTGGCTCTCAACTGGTGCAACTCATCAAAAGCCTTGGCTTTGTTCACAGCATCTTGTCCAAGAGCGGAACCTTTGGCCAAAACAGTAGCCATCACGTCTTGCGCTTTGCTAACATACGCTCTACCACCATTGCTATCCGTGTTCTGCAAACAAGAGTTCATCGTCATCCCGTCCCACAACAAGGTTAGTGATTTCTACAACTTTTAATATCAAAAGGGGAAAGTTAAAGAAGAAGAATATTAACCTGGCGTGTTGGTGCTGAGGGCATTGTGTTCTCTATTAAGTGCTGCAAGAACAGAAACTAAGATATATCATTCAGAGCTTGAGGGGGAAAAAAGAAGCTTGAAATGGGAATACAAAGACAAAACCTGCATGTTCTCACGGGTAGGAACATAGTTGAGAGCTGGAGTAATTGTAACGATCTTGTCTACAATTGTGGCACCCTGTAATTGACAAAAATGTGTTGCACAAAGTTGAACAGGTTTCTAGTCCAAATCCAAAAAGATTTTATACAATTCTCACAGTAGTTACTCTTTATACATAGCAAACAGATAAGATTTAGCAGCTCAATGAAGAGCAAATATTACAAACCAGTTGCACAAAGTAGAACAGGTTTCTAGTCAAAATACAAAAGCTTTTACACTGTTTAAACAATAACCAAAGCAGCAGCTCAACATACCGATAATAAGAGAGCGATTTCAAGGGCTTTAGGTTCAGTAAAGGTGACAAATGCGACTCTTGATTTCTCAGCATCACTGCAATCAAAATCCCCCACTTGAGTTTCCTTAATTAAAAGCATACAAACAAAACCAAGCTAAGAAGGAATAAAGGAAGGTTACTTAAGGATCTCGATGTGGTCTATGTCGCCGGAGAAGGAGAAAAACTCGTGAATCTCTCTCTCCGTCGCTAGATCTGACACATTCTCCACTTTAACACTTCTTGTCTGCATCTCAATTTCAAAGTGAAAAGAATATCAATCTCGAGCTCCAGAATTGAAAAAATTGGGGTTTATGTAAAAGTAACAAAGTAGGAATCATCATCATAATTCATAATCATCACCTGCTGCATTGTTGGCGGCGGAAGGAAGGCGGAGAGAGAGAGAGAGAATATTATTTTGCGGAAGAGAGAAGGAAAAGATTTGAACAGCCCACTCAGACCTCTTGTCACTTTCTCCTCCAGCTAAGCTATTACTGTTTAAATCATTTTTATTTATTATATAACCAAAACCCACATTAAAAAAAAATGAATTCAATAAACTATTCAATTATCTCCACACACAAAAAAATACACGGAATGCATTATTCAAAGGAAAACTATAGTTATTTGTGAACTTTCTTGTTTTATGATATTTTTATATAAATTATATCAAAAAATTGTTTTCATGGTAAGTAACAGTGAACATTCTGTTTTTTTGTGCTGTTTTATAGAAATGTACAATATAGAGAACATTCACTATAAAATGAAAAGACCATAAAAACATTTTTGTGTTTAGGAAAGCAGGCTTGAGATCTAAAGTGATCAAGCAAGTACAGGAATGTGTTATTAATATAAAGTTAAGAGAAGAAATTGCGATTCATATGTTTGGTTCTATCGAAAACCATATAAATATGCAGAATCAAAACCACAATAGCAAAGCTTTTATCTTTATTCTTCATCTTCAATTTTCGGTTGAGAAAAAAAGCTGGTAACTTTTGGTACATTGAAGGAGTCTAAACAGATCAAGCTGTTCTCTTTATGATATGGACTCCGCTGTCTGTGTCCACGATCTCGCTTATATCACCCACTTTTAGTGCGTATGTTGCTTCCTCAAACGGCTTCTGCATTTGACCTCTACCAAAGGGACCTGAACCACAGTTGGCAAAATCAACTTATTAGCCCCAAAATTAGAGATAAAATAATCTTTAGCAAGTCCAAGGAGACATTCATAACGTTTATGACCACCAATTATAAATTCATGGAGGAAAAAGGCTTCAAATTCTAATTGTCAGTGATTATCTAAGCATATACATTTATGAGCACTTGCTAGATTCATCAAGGAAGAAACTTTTTTCACTGGTGATGATCTAAGCAGTCATCATCAGTAAGATTTACGAGCACCAATTCTAGATTAATCAAGGAAAAAAAACTCCATACTATAAACATTAATGATAATCAAAGTAGAGAGTAGTAGTAAGATTCATGTAAAACTCAGACGGCGATAACCTTCATGAGAAAGAACTATAGATACATCAAGCAAGAAACTTTATACTCTAAAACACTGTTGATGATCTAGACAGATCAATGTTCATAATCATTATGAGTACTTCCACTACAGAGAGATCAACCAGAAGCCTAATTGAATTCAATATCGATTCATCCTGTTCACCAGTAGCTGTTTGAGACAATTACAAACTTCTTAGATTGGAAAAAGAGAAACAAACCTAGATCGCCGCCGCGTTTAGCAGAGCTACAGTCGGAAACACGAGAGGCCACGTCCTCGAAGTTAGCTTTGCCAGAGACGATGTCTTCACGGATCGATTTGAGCTGTTCGACGGCAGCTTCTCTGGTAATGGTCATAATGATCTTACCTTCTGGATCCTTCCACGACGCCTTCCTGCGAGATCCTTGATGCTTAATCAGAATGTGCGAGGCCTTAACTTGGTCTCTCGAAGCCATCTTGCTCTTCTTACGGTGCTTGCTGTGGTGGTGTTCCTCTCTCTTCTCCTTTGGTGACGGTCGATCTGTCCAAGAGACAGAGTCTTTCTTCCTTTTCCGATCTGAATCTATCTTCGAAGATTTGGGGTTTGAGATGTCTTTATATGACAACACAATCAAAGGACAAGTTAAAGTTTGCGGCTCTCTCTTCTTTGCCAAGAGTCTTTATATGACAAGGTATTGTGAGTGTATTCGGATATTTTCGGATTAATTCATTCAGGCCCGGCTCAACCCTTAACTTGACCCGGTGCTGTCACCCATAAAAAAAAAAGAGGCATCTCTTCGGGTGCCCCAAATGTCAAAAGCAAAATCTCATATAGGCTCCTTAGTCACATATGCCCCTATTTCATTAAGTCACTGCACAAAAAGAAAACCTTAAAATGAGTGAAAATAAAATAGGAATTTTAAATTTTGACTAGATCAGATAGAGATTAGTTGATTACTTCGGTTAGAGGAAAATAATTGGTGGTTATTGTGCTAGCAATGCGAAAGCTTCTCCGACCACACAGTAAAATCTCAACGTTTCCACCAGCAAGCATTTCTACGAGAAAGGTCGGATTCTTCTCTCCTTTCCGAGCTGCATTGGATAGAAATCAGATACAAGGTTTGTAATTGGATTTGTTGAAATACTATTGGTTCTGGGGTTTGGTTGATTTGTATATAAAATTATATACAATGCATGCATGTGGTTGAATGCATGGGGGTGAATTGTCTCAGTTGTGAATAGATTCCCACGGAGATCTCAATCATACTAAACTTTTAATTTGAGTTCTTGTTGAAACATAACTTGGTATATCTAGTAGAACTAATAATTATAGTATACTAGGTTAAATTTGGTATTACTGTAGATAACTTGATAGAAATCAGAACAATTGGTATAACTGTAGATAATTCGGTAGAATTGAGAACAACTAGTATAATTAGAAATTTTTTTTTTTTGTTTTTGTAGGATACAAGGGCAAAACACGTGAGCATACATTTCAAATTCAAAGGTCGCATTTATAGTGTAATTTTAAAAACAACAGTGGAGGATATAAGTTTGGCAATGATAAAAGAAAGGATGTACAAAAAGCTTGCATTTGATAAAAGTAAGGTTAAACTGTCATTGAGGCACATGCCGATGGTGGTTGGATGTGAGGAAGAGCAAAATATTTGTGATGATGAGGATTTGTTTGTTTACTTAATGACTATTGATAAAGAGAACTATACAAGTCTTTTGTTTGTGAAAGAGACGAGTAGATCAGAGAAGTTAGAGAAGTTAGAGAAGTTGTCGAGAGTGGACCTAAGTTTGTTTGGTATGAACTACCAAGTGTTGGAAGAAATTGATGATGAAATCATACCTAAATCCATAACTCTGTATGCAGGAGACGGGCAAGCAAATCAACAGAAGGATGTTATAGAGGCAGAGAATTATGATGGTTGAACAGAAGATGGCTGTATGGATACAGACATCGCAGCTGATATGAACACTGAGCTGAGACGGACACCGCAGCCGAGATGGATACTGTTGCTGATATGGACACTGATTTGGCAGATAAGTAGGTTGAGCAGCCACCTGTAGAAAAAAATCTAGTCAGGTTATAGAGGAATGGGAAAATGGTTTGGATCTTAGAAAGCTTCAGAAATTTCCAAGTAAGAAAGCAATTCAAGAGATGGTTGTTAGAGCCGCAATTGGTGAATGCTTTCGTTATGTTGTCAAAATGCCGGATCGTAGAAGATTGGTAGTAAAATATTGTGAAGCAAACTGTAAATGGGGTTTGCAAGCTGCAAAGATTCCACAGATCAAATGTTTTCTATTAGGAGGTACACAGGTGTGCATACATGCTCTCTAACCAGTCAAAATAAAAGCAACAACAACAAGAAGAAAGGCTCATCGAAATTAGTTGCATCTTTTTTGAATGAGAAATATCCTGGACAAGTGAGAACTTCTATTCCGAGAGATATCATAAATCTTCTAAAGTTAAGACTTGGTCTAAGAGTATCCTATTCCACAGCCTTGAGAGGGAAAAATCTAGCTATTTCCCATTTGTGTGGTAGTTCGGAAGACAATTACAAGTTGTTGTATAGCTACTTGTACATGTTAGAGGAGGTCAATCTGGGAACGATGATAGGTGTGAAGTTGGATGAGGCAAATAAGTTCAAGTACCTCTTCATAACTTTGGGAGTTTGTATTGAAGGGTTTGCAGTCATGAGGAAAATGATAGTTGTGGATGCCACATTTTTGAAGAACGGATATGGGGGTGTACTAGCTTTTGCCAAAGCTCAAGATCCTAATCGTAACCATTATCCCCTTGCGTTTAGTGTAATCGATGGTGAGAATAATGCTAGTTGGACGTAGTTTGTCGAGATGCTCAAAATTGTTACACCAGACTCTTTTGAATTAGTTTTTATGAGCGGCAGAAACCAGAGCCTCATCACAGCGGTAGCTAATGTGTTTCCACAAGCTCACCAAGGTCATTATATATTGTGAGAGGACATGCTTGTAACACCAACAAAGCCCTAATCGCATGGAAATTTATGAACTTGGCTAAGTGTTACACGGTGGCTGAGTTCAACTCTGTTTACGCAGCCTTTAAAGTGAGACATCCTTCAGCGTACAAGTATATAGCATAGCATTGTGAGAAAGAGACATGGCCAAGAGTTTTTTTCAGGTGGTAGATACAACTTGGACACTAGCAACAATGTAGAGTCAATGAACAACTCGTTTAAGAACACAAGGAGGTATGCCTTAATACCAATGTTGGATATAATCATCAAACAATTTTCCGAGTGTTTTAATGAACATCGGAAGGACGCTGTGTCTGGATCGATTGATACCAAACTGGTTCCTCTTGTCGAGATTCACTTGCATAATCTCTGGAAAAAGCTGAGAAAACACCAGTGCATGAGCTAAATAATTATGAGCTTGAGTATGAGGTAACCGACAAAGATGACGGGAAGACTCATTTGGTGAACTTGATAGCGAAGAGTTGTACATGTAAGGTGTATGACTATGAAAAGTATCCTTGTTTTTACGGACTAGCTGTTACTTATATTTCCTTGAGGTTGATGCTGCTCTTGGTCGTCGACGTGAAGTCAGGATAAAGTATCATGAGTTGTGCTCAAAATATTACTGTACAAAACTTTGGGGAACTCTTTATTTTGTGCCCGACAGGTCTGATTGGAATGTACCAGATCACTCAAAGAGCTTCAGATCATACACTACAAGAAAACTAAGCCTTTACTAGGAAATTTTACTAGGAAAAACCTTCCTCGTAAAATTACTAAGGCCTTACTTCGAGTTTACGAGGAAAGCAAATTTCCTCGTAAGATCCTCGAAAACTTACGAGAAAATATTTTCCTCGTAAGACCTTAGTAATTTCACGAGGATCTTACGAGGAAAAAGTACTTTTCCTCGTAAAGCCGTAGTAGAGGCTTTCCTCGTAAAGGCATAGTAAAATATTACTACGAAATTAGGAGGAAATTGTTTATTACTACGAAATTAGGAGGAACTGGATAGCAAATATAGAATTTAAATAAAAAACGTGTTTTGTACCTACTTTTCCTAGCGATTTTCTAGTAAATGCTCAGATTCGAAAATTTCTATAAATACCACCTTATGTGATTCATTTGAAACACACCAAAAAAAAATCAGCTATAAGCTTGATCAAACACAAAAAAATGTCCTGTCCGGGAAATATTTTCTAGTTGCGGCAGTGGATGTATTCACACAGAGATAATAACGGGAGGGTGACGAACGAATTTCTGGAAGGGTTGGAGACGTTTATGCATCAAGCAGATTCTACACCACTCACGCAGGAAAGTGGTAAGATGTTCTGTCCTTGTCGGAAATGCTGCAATAGCAAATTAGGCCCTCGTGATAATGTTCGGAAGCATTTAATAAGTAGAGGTTTCATGCCATATTATTATATTTGGTATCAACATGGAGAAGATGCTAGTTGTAGGAATGAAGGTAGCAGTAGTAATCAGGTTGAACCGGTTGATCGTTTGCGTAATGAAGGTAGGAGTAGTTATAGTTATGATCATCACCAAGAGGAACAAATGGTAGATTGTGATAGGGTTCATGATATGGTAGGTAATGCATTTGTAACTCATGATGATGATGAAGTTGAAGAACCTAACTTAGATGCAAAAAAGTTTTAAGAAATGTTAGAAGCTGCAAATGAGCCAATTTACAGTGGTTGTAGAGAAGGTCTGTCTAAATTGTCGTTGGCTGCTAGACTGATGAGTATTAAAACTGATCACAATCTACCTGAAAATTGTATGGATGCATGGGCAGACTTGTTTAAAGAGTATTTGCCAGAAGACAATGTGTCTGCTGAATCTTATTATCAGATTCAGAAATTGGTATATAGTCTTGGGTTTCCCTCGGAGATGATAGACGTTTGCATCGACAACTGCATGATTTACTGGGGAGATGATGAGAAGTTAGAAGAATGTCGATTTTGTAAGAAGCCACGATTCAAACCGCAAGGTCGATGGCGCAATAGGGTACCGTACCAAAGGATGTGGTACCTACCAATCACAGACAGATTGAAAAATTGTACCAATCTGAGGAGACTGCTGGAGGGATGAGATGGCACGCCGAGCATACTCAGACGGATGGAGAGATGACTCATCCATCAGATGCAAGAGCCTGGAAACATTTTAACAATGTACATCCACATTTCGCTAGCAATAGCCGGAATGTGTATCTTGGATTATGCACTGATGGTTTTAGTCCATTTGGAATGTC